GAATATCTTTCCAATGGTAGTTTTTACACTCTGACGATGTTAGCAGAGGCTAACGAAAGCTAAGTGGATAATATATTTTACGTTCCTGAGATCGTGAGATATATATATCTGGTGGGATAGTTGGAATAGTTGGAATGCAGTTAGATGGTTGGAATACAGTATGATTAGGGCTGGTGCCTCTGCGTTGAGATTCAGGGAAAAGGTCCTAGAGAGAGTCCTCGACTTACAACTGTTCACTGTTCAAAGTTATGATGGCCTAAGAAAATACTACTTATGACCTGTCCTTGAAGTTATGACTGTCACACCATGCATTCATGTGATTGTTTAGGCAAGGTTTTTTTTACCATTTTCCAGCAAAAAAAAGTCCTTTGAATAAAATGGATTTGGACGTATGAACATGGGATTTGCTTAATGATCATGATTTGCTTTATGATAGTCATAAAATTGAGTTTGGTCTCAGGGTGGCTCAACTTATGACTGCAACAATTCTTGATTAAAATTCTGGGGTCAGGATTAGCCATAAATCAAGGAATGCCTTTTATCTGCATCATGAATGTCAGGATTGTCCTCTGGTAAATAATCTGTACGACATTGGTGGGGGAGTTAGTTGACTGGGAGACAATGGCCTGGCTTCCTCCCCACATTTCTCCAAAGCCAACGAAGCTTCCCCCTCCGAAGCCAACGAAGCCGCTCCAGCTCTGTCTTGTCTTCCTCCACAGATTCAGGCTCCTATGGGGACACGACACATTCATTCATTTGTTCGTTCGTCCATTCGTTTGTTTATCCTATTTCTATATTGCCTATCCCCCTCAGAGGTTAAAACTTGCATAAGAGGGTTTTAGGCTTTAGTTTCATGAATGCCAATATCTGACTTTTCATGAGGCCTTCTTTGGCTATTTAAAATGCTACATCTTATCTTATTTAGAGTCAACCACAGGGAAAACTGTTTCCAGCAATGCGGAATAGGATTGCAGTTGATCTCTGACGTTGTCAAAGCAAAGAAGCACCAAATGCCAGAGGCTTCTTTTAGCTATATGCAGGATTAAAATTAAGGCATTTGCCATGATTACTTAACAGTACTTCATAACAATTAGATGATCACTTAGAAGTTTGATGGATAATTACCTCCCCCTCCCCGGTTAATCGTCTAGGCTTGACACGCACACTAGTAATAAGCATGATGATATCCCTAATGTAAACGCTCTCTGATTGAACTAATAGGACTGACAGAAAATGCAAGAAATATATGGCCAAACTATTTATCACTTAACTATCATATGCTTTTTGTCTTCCTCCAATTACAAATACTGTTTTTGAGGTTGCATTGAATAGCAAGGAATTATAACTGCCACAATTTCACTTTAGTGGATTATTCCCAGATACATTTTATTGCTAGATGCTGGAGATAATGGTACACCATTGATTGTAGACAGTTTTATTTATTTATTTATTTATTTATTTATTTATTTATTTAGATTTGTCAATCACTTACAAGATAATAGGTATAAGTATATACATAGTTATGAATGCATGAAATGGGTACATATAAGAAAAATAAAAGAAACAATAGGACAGGGACGGTAGGCACGTTGGTGCGCTTATGCATGCCCCCTACAGACCTCTTAGGAAAGGGGTGAGGTCAATAGTAGACAATCTAAGGTTAAAGTTTTTGGGGTTTGGGGAAGAAACCACAGAGTCAGGTAGAATATTCCAGACATTGACCACTCTGTTGCTGAAGTCGTATTTCCTGCAATCAAGTTTGGTGCGGTTAACTTTGAGTTTGTATCTATTGTGTGCTCTTGTGTTGTTATGGTTGAAGCTGAAGTATTCGTTGACAGGTAAAACATTGCAATGTATGATTTTATATACTATACTTAGATCGGACCAAAGGCGGCGTAGTTCTAGGTTTTCTAGGTCTAGAATTTCAAGTCTGGTGGCATAAGGTATTCTGCAACGAGTAGAGGAGTGGAGAACTCTTCTTGTGAAATATTTCTGGACTTTCTCAACTGTGTTAATATCAGATACGTAATGTGGGTTCCAGACTGATGAGCTGTATTTGAGTATTGGCCTAGCAAATGTTTTGTATGCTCTAGTTAGTAGTGTGATATTACCAGAGAAAAAGCTATGTAGGATTAGGTTAACTCTTAATGCCTTTTTGGCTATGTAGTTACAGTGGGCTCTAGCACTTAGATCATTAGAGATGAGTATTCCAAGGTCCTTTACAGAGCTTGGATCATCAACAAGGTCTTGACTATTCAGCTTGTATTTTGTTTTCTGATATTTTTTGCCAATATGTAAGACAGAGCATTTATTTGTTGAGATTTGAAGTTGCCATTTGTTTGACCATTCTGATACATAGTCAAGATCTTTTTGAAGGTTAGCAGTATTGTCTGTGATATTGAACAGCTTTACATAATCAGAGAAGAGAACGCAGTTGCTCTTAATATGATCACAGAGGTCATTTATGTAGAGTATGAAGAGAGTTGGTCTTAGAACACTGCCTTGGGGGACACCACTATTGACAGGTACAGAATTTGATAGGGCACTCCCAATTTTGACCATTTGTTGTCTGTTTGACAGGAATGCTTCTATCCAGTTATGCAGTTGTCCAGAGATACCATAAGATTTTACTTTTAGGAGTAGTTTGTCGTGTACCACTGAATCAAAGGCTTTACAGAAGTCTATGTAGATTCTGTCTATTGTTTTGCCCTGATCGAGTTGTGTAGTCCATATGTTTTTGCAGTGTAAGAGTTGCAGATTGCAGGATAGTTTTTTTTCTGAAACCAAATTGTTTATTAGAGAGTAGGTTGTGTGCATGGATTGTAGTTTACCATGGTATTTCACTGCATTTCAATATTTCAAGGCCTTCCTGTATATTAAACTAGTCAAAAAGAGGGCTGTGAAGTTATCTACAGACCCCTTACATCCTGGACATAAATTGTTTCAACTTCTACCCTCAAAACAATGCTTTGGGCACTGCACACTACAACAACTAGACACAAGGACATTCCCCGCCCCCCAAATGCCATCACTCTACTAAACAACTAATTCCCACAACACTGTTAACTTATTTACTAAGACTGTATTACTATTATTCCTCTACTACTAGATTATAATAACACTTCCTAGTGCCTATGTCTTCCCACTGATGACTATAACCGTGTTGCTTGTAACTTTACAATTTATATTGTTTTATTTGTTTCCTATTATGATTTGATTGCTTATTAGTAACCTATGACTATCACTAAGTGTTGTATCTTATGATTCTTGATGAATGCATTTTTTCCCTTTATGTACACTGAGAGCATATGCACCGAAGACAAATTCCTTGTGTGTCCAGTCACACTTGGCCAATAAAGAATTCTATTCTGTTCTGTTCTGTTCTGTTCTGTTCTACTCTACTCTACTCTACTTAAACAATTGCGACCAATTTAGCTAACATTGAAGATGCTCTAGAATATTTAAATATTCAGACCCTCTAGAATATTCAAATAATTCTGCTAAGGTGAAGTTGGGGCAAAAGAATGTTTCATGACATGTTTGAACAAACTGCTCTAATACTTCAAAGGGAGTGGCAAGGCATTAGCTGGCATGAAAACTGAAGAGAGAGCAAACTTATTACAGGACTGCCTTTTATACATAATACTAGATTGCTATCTAAGAGTTGCTTAAAAGATGTGCATGTTTGTGTTCAGCATTGGAATATTCTCACCTAAAAACATCCATGTGTTTTCTTTTTGTAAAAATCTGCATGCTCTTTTCAGTGGAATTATGTTCTGTAACACCATTCTGAGGACCTTATCCTAGGACACTTAAAACATATAGCCCTGATGACTTTTTCATTTTTCTTGAAAAGAGCCCCAAAGGTAAGGAATTACTATTATGATCTGGGAGAGGGAGAGGAACCTTTTATCTACATATCCTCTGTTAAATAACAATCCACTTGATCTGATGGTGCAGTGTGCCTTGGGCAGGAAAAACCTGTTGTAGTTGTTAATGGGAATTAGATCTCTACACACTGATTACATTTGGATATAATCTATGAGTTAGAATTTCAGCAAAGACCCCACAATTCCTCCTATACACCCCTGTAGATTTTATTTTCCAGCATAGCTGTTGGCAAGAGACAAGAAACATTCACTTCCACTTCTATTTTGGATTGGCTGCAGTTTACTGGGTCTTCTGAACATTAAATTTGGATTAAGCTGAATTGTTGAGACTAATCTTAACTATGCTTAATGAAAACAAACCTCAAGAACTATGTTTTAAAATGAAGATTTATTACATCTGTCTGAGTTTGGATGACCCAGCCAGCTGTGGTTAATTGTAAAGGGAAGTAAAAAATTCAAATTTTGTGTTTAGGCCAGAAAAGGTGGGGAAGTGGATGCTTTTCAAGGAGGCTAATCTTGGTCTTCTGATTCTAATTTGTGTTTCTCTGTTATAGTCTAACAAGTCAGTGAAGAATCCACTTTGGACAAAATGTTTGGACAGAAACATTGCTGATTTCACTTGCATCAAAATCCAGGATTTATTCAACCACAATAATAGCATTTAGCAGGCAGTGTTTTTTTTAAAAAAAATTTAAGCTTTTTAATGACCACAAAATGCTGAGTCAGTCTGAAAATGAAAAATAATCAGATTTGTTTCTCCATGTTCTAATTTTCATTCCCCCGCTTTCCTTAGGCAAGGTGTTGTTCTTTTTAGAGAAAGCTGCAACATCTCAGGTTCAATTCACCCTAAACACATTTAGAATAGAATCCATAATCATATAGTCTGGTCTTGCTCTACTTCTTAGTCTCTTTACCAAAACTTCTTGGCAGTGAGAAAGAAACTTTTGTAAAACAGCTTCATCCTGCTGGAGCATGTTACAGCTGTTGGAAACTTTTTTACTTTGCCTGTTCAGCCTGAAGGAGGGAGGGAGGGAGAGAGAGAGAGAGAGAAAGAGGAAAGAGAGAGAGAGAGAGAGAGAGAGAGAACACAATAGGGAGTGGCATCAGAGTTCAGGTGAATTAATACAGTTCAGTCTTTTGCTTCAAACTGTCACCACTAACACCAGACTTTTTCAGTTGTCCTTTTTACATCTTTTTTTTCTCAGTTCAGGAAATAGAGTTGCTTCATAGAAGGTAAGTGATGAATATCTTTTAAACCCCTTTGTAGATGTCTAAGCATTTGTCTAGGATTCTTTATAAAGAGTCCAGTGGAGTTGAAAATAAAAAAGGGGGACACTGCAGGAGAAATTGAAGGATTTCCCCATTTTGTATAACTTTGTATGGACAAGAGATTTCAGAGTGAACAGTTGGTGGAACGTTTCTATAGTTCTCTTGCTTGTAGCTTAGATTATTGATCTAACCTGTATGAGGTACAATAATTCATTTTTTAGCAAGTTGATCTGAAAATCACACCTTACAATGTGGAACAAGAATGACAAGCTTTCTTATTTCATTGATTGACTGAGTGGTGAATAACCTTAGTCTATTGAATGATAGTCAAGATTTTTCTTGTGCAATTGTCCTTTTCATTTATAGAATTTAAGGGTGGGTTTGTTTGTTTGTTTTAAAAAATAGTGTCTTCTGTTTGTGATCCTCCTGTGCTTCCACACTACTTTCTCTTTCTGTCTCTCTCTCTCTTCCTTCCATTTCTTTCTCCAATTTTCCCAAGGTCAGACAAATCGCTTAAGGTAAACTAGCTACCTAGTGCCTTCTCCCTGGTTGTATTAGGAGCTGTCCATTGGAATCACCCTAAGCCTATGAGATTGCTAGTAGAAACTTGAATAAAGGTGAGGTTTTTCATAGGGGTGTGGGCCTTTTGACTCAGCTTCTTTTACGTTATTCATCAAATAACAAATGCCATTCAGACTTAAGAGGATATTAAGGCCGATTTTTATTTCAGCAGGCCAGGGTTATTGTCTGTTCTTGTATTTCTATATACAGAAGGTTACAATTATGTGATGATTGTTTCTGGCTCATCAGATATCAGGTATGAGAGTGGGAACGGATGAGTCTAAAGTTAGTGTTGGGAGGGCTTTGCATTTGTTCTGCATTTTCCTTCCTTCTCTTTCTGCATGAAAAGAAACTCAGTTGGAGTCTAAGGAGGAAAGTACGGACCCATTAACTTTTTCTACCCTGTATTTTTTTTTAATCCTAAGGAGGAATACCAACTTTTATGATCTTATCCAAAAACAGAATCTTATAATAAAAATGAAGCCTCTCACTTTGTTTGGTTCAAAGCTGATGGTAAAGCCACAGGCCTCCCTTTCTTTTTTATGGGTTGGCTTCTATTCATGCCATTTCTAAAACAGAGAATAAGGTTTTGGACTAGGAGACACAGATTCAAGTCCACTCTTAGACACCAACTTTACTTCAACTAGTTCACCAGTTTGTTATTACGGAAATAAAATTAAAAGAGATGCTTATGGAAGCTGCTCTGGATTCTTGGAGGAATGATGCATATAAGCCCTGCAAGGTAGTTGAGGCAAAAAGAACCCGTCCTTCAAGGCTATTAAGTATGAATTCTATATCAGAATATAACTTGTACGAACTTAATTATTAACACGGCCAAAACATTTTACTGACTCAGACAAGGGACCAAATGGCAACCCATCTTCTTAAACCAATTTTGCTTTGATAAAACTGGTGTTAGGACAGTGACAGAACTCTACTTCATTGGTAAAAGGTATAAGAATTTTGAAAGCCTGGTATAATTTGTCTCATCCCACTTCATACTTAAGAAAACCAAGGTGAGGCATTCTTGAGTTTCCTTCTCATTCCCTCTTCTCTTTCAAAGTAAGCAGTTTATATAACTGCTTTTACACTCACACTTCCACAAGCAGGCAGAGCATTCCTTATTGCTGTTTCCCTTCAAGAGCCCCTTTGTCAACTTCCAACATTTGCTATTTATTTATTTTAATTTTATTTTATTTATTTTATTTTGTCAAGCGATTATAAGATAACAGGTATAAGTATAAACATAGTTATGAATACATAAAATGGATACAAATAAGAAAAAAAAGAAACAATAGGAAGTGATAGCTCCTTTCTCTCCTTGACAGTAGAATCACCCCCTCGCTTCTAAATCTTTCCCCTAAAAACAATTTAGTTAAGATGCTGCATGAGGCCAAGGTACTAGGAGAATTATTACATGTTTTTCAACATTTCAGCACCCGAAAAGTAGCCAGTGAGCCTGAGCCAATGTCAGCCTATATGTCTCTTGTAATTTTTAGCTGATGAAGATGAAATTATTTTTATTAATTTATTTTTAAGAATCGGGAAAAGATCCAACTCAGGTGTGCCTTATGCTGCTAATGGGATCGTTGTTAAGGCATGCCATAGTTTGAAGAAACATGATGCAACAATGGTCCTATCTTGCCCAAGTCAAGAAATGTGGATTGGGTCAAAACTTCATGGGAGATCCCTGTGAATTCCAAGGCTGCAATTCCTTCTGCTTTGTCATGGAAAAAAGGCAGACTATAAGTATACTAAATGATTGTAATATAAAGTTTAGTACCCCCATTATCTTCATGATGTGTAGAAACTATTCCAGCACCTTTTTTACTTGTGTTGATGGGATAATATGGAAAGCTGTAGCTTTCTCTAGAGAACCTCATGCTCTGGCTATTTCTCAGTTCTATGCAAAAGCTGAGTATATATACATGCATAGCAGAGGTGGTATTCATCAGGTTCTGACCAGTTCTGAAGAACCAGTAGTGGAAATTTTGAGTAGTTCGGAGAACCGGCAAATACCACCTCTGACTGGAGATTTTACAGTACCCCTCCCCTGCCACGCCCATCAAGCCATGCCCACAGAACCAGTAGTAAAAAAAATTGAATCCCACCACTGATGCATGGAAAACAAAGGTATATTTTTCATATGAGTGAGTATATTTTATATTATCCTGGAAGCTTGAGATTAAACAATACTTCTGCGGAGTACACTCAGCAAAATTAAAATGAATACATACTTGATAATGCTTTACTGCATGGCTTGTGAACTAGCACAATTATTGATCATACAAGGTTGCCCATCTAGGGTTTAATAGATCCTATGTTGGTACTTTTCTGGGATTGCAAAGACAGACGGTTTGTCAAAGTTCTTGGCAAACCACAATCTATAGTTACTGAGCTGTCTGTTCAGATTGGTGAATCATTAAATTATGGAGATTTCTCCCCTTCCTTACATAAGATAGGAGCATAAAATATTTGTCTCCTCTATTTGATGTTGTGAGCAGAGCACTGAGAAATTTTTTGGGGACATGTAGAGGACTGGCACAACTTTCTGACTCCTAAAAACTTGGGAGATAACTCTTGGCTTCTGCTAGAGTAAATTAAATTTGTAAAATACTTTAGGAAGAGCCAAAAATGATTTTTGGGTGGAAAAATGGCTATATGTCAGTATATTCCTTAGTTTAGAATTCTTTAATTCCATATGTGGCTGTTGTACAAGACTATAGCTAGTAGTACTGGACATTCTGTTTAAACCAACCAAGAAAACAAAAATGTAAAGATCTCTCAAGCTTCAAATCATTGGTGCATAAAAATAAATTTAACTGAAATTTAAACGAAACTTCTGGAGAAGAGGAAGATTAATAAGCAGAAAGGGTCATCCCGGGCATTTCAGTAAAATGTGGGTGTGTTTCAAACTAGCTGTACTTCAAAGATGCTACTATCCCTTGAGCAATTGTTTAGAGGTGCTGACTTAAGCATAATTCTCTATACAAATTCCTTAACTAGTATGTCAGTTATGCACTGGCTCCACCTCACTGAGGTTTTCCAGTGACTAATAGCTTCATATTCTTCTTTTTGAATAATTCTTCATTGGAAAGTTGATACTAAATATGGCCTCTAGGTCTATTGCTGAGTCTTCTTACACTGCCGCTTGTTTCCTAGGGAAGTTTTCAACAAGGGAAATTACCATAGATGGAGATATATCTGCAATAAGCCAAGATTTATGCATATAAATATTGGCATGTTTTGCTTTTTTTCAGTTGCTGCTGATTTTTCATTGCCTTCTTCTACATAGTATATTACTTTTCATGCTATCTTAATCGCATAAGAAGGAATAATACTTATGGGAGTGCACAGAACAAGAATGTGTTAGCATATTTCCTTCAGTTGTTACTGAGTTCAGTTGCCCGTTGACATATCTCATCTTTGCATGTTCAGAAAATTGTTAAGATTTCCTTTTTGGAGAACTTTTTCCAAGGTGTAAGTAGACTGTGCACAGGTGCACAAAACTCTGCAATAATTCCTGTATTTTGCCTGAGACAAAACATGCATTGTGTGAAGACTTATTACAAGAAGGAAATGTTCTAGTCCAGTGTCTTCATAAGTGTTCATTTGACCTTCGAGTTATACTTGGGAACATTATACCTGGGAAAGTTTTCAAATAATTTTGTTTTAACATTGATATGGATAGGCCCACATGAGGATTTTGCCACCTCAGTCAAGACAACGATTGTTACATCCAAAGCAAAATAAAATAAAATAAAATAATAAAAGAACATTAGTTAATTGCTTGTTTAGACACACAACTTAAGCACTCTGTGTTCTCTAAAAAAATAAAACATGAGTTAAGAAAGAATTCTGAGGTGGCACTTAATGGAGATGACCTGATTCTTCTTTGTCTTATAGTAGCAGGTACTGAGCAAATGGGTGTAGTAGTGTATAAATAGAGAATTAAGGTTTCTCGGAATCTCCTTCTGGTAGGATGTAATAGGCTAGGTGCTAGGTTTTGCCTATTCTTGTGACATTTCCACCTCTAAGTAAGTCTCCTTTCTGCTATATTTATAAAACTTATTTCAATAATCACTCCCAGGTCAAATTGCTGCTCTCAGGAATGCTCATACCACCCACAGAACAGCAACTCCCAACAATAATTCTTTCACATTTTATGAATTCAACAGTTGTAGATTCTATGAAAAAAACTGTGTGTGTGTGTGTGTGTGTGTGTGTAATTGTTGTGGTTCACCAGCAGCAGGTGCAGATGGCTGACGTCTCTGAGAGTGAGGTTTCAGATGAGGGGCCTGCATGTGAGGCAGGGATGGGGCCAGGACCATCAGGGAGTGGAATGCTGCTTTCGGAGATGGTGGAGGCTGGCAGCAGTAATGAAGAGGTTCCCAAGGAGCCTGTGCCCAGTACGCGTGCACGCAGAGCTGCTCGAAGGAAAGAGCAGCTGCAGCATCACAGGTGACTTGGGAGTAAGGTAATGGCCCCTCCCTCAAGAGATAAAAGCCAGCTGAGAAACCGGAGTTCTTTGCAGGAAGCAAAGAAGTTTTTACATTCAAGCCTTGTGGATGTTCAGAATATCTTGATTGGTGTTTGGAGACTCTTTGTGTTTGAAATCTTTCTTAGTAACTTTATCTAGTGTTCTTGGCAGCCATGCATCACCTTGCCAAGGCTCATTCTTATCAGAGATAATTAATTTGAAACAGCCTTTTAACCGTGAAGGAACAGAATTCATAAAGAATCATTAAAAGGTTTTTCTGTTACCTCTGCTTCAATTTGTTTTCTTGGAACAAGGTTTGGGTCAGAACAGTAATGTATACATGTATATTTATGGCTGCAAGCTAAGAACATATTATATGTATCAGTTGGATGTCTGGTGTTGTATTATGATTGTAATAGTGAAGTTTTTATCGCTAATTAGTGGATCTAATGTGAAAAGGCAAAATATCCCCAAATATTTAAACTTCTTAGGAAGAAAGTTTTAAATTTTGCTGAGGTAAGGGAAAGTAGTGAACATATATCTGATAGCCCTAGTTTGAAACTTTGTTAGATCTGCTTTAGCTTTCAGAACTGTAAGAAGAGAAATTTTGCCAGTTGTGTGTATTCTTCTGCTGTAATGTTGTGATGAGATAATTCAAGAGGTTGGTTCAAAGCTTTTTGACCCAAGACAACTTGAGAGCAGATTGCACCCGCCTTTCTGTACATACCACATGTAGATAATTTTGAATGCTGTGATTGTTACTTCAGGTTAAACATCTCTTAACTTGTACTGCAAGGTTGCAGTGCCATTCAGTGTTTATTGGCACGCGGGATGTGAGAAAGTAGCAATTATTCATACACACAAGATTGTTTGACTGATCAATTATTTTGCCCTTTTGATTTCAGAATCGTAACTATGGATGCTATACAAGCTGCAAATACAGCTTTTTCAGTTGATCTATTCAAAAAACTCTGTGAACTGGACAAAAATGCTAATTTTATTTTTACTCCACTTTCCATGTCAACTTCTCTTGCTCTAGCATATAAAGCAGCTAATGGTGACACAGCAACCCAGATAAAACAGGTAGGATGTTTATTTTTAACATAACTCTTGCTTATTGTATATGAAGTCTATTTTCCCTTTGCCATATAGATGATGATTGACCCTTCTATAAATTCAAGTAATTATATTTTTCCATTAAATAATATGGGTAAAAAAATCCTGGCTTGGTTTAACAGCAAAGGTTCTCAAATCTAAGGTAGATAATAAACAGTAAACCTTAAAATGAAACAAAGACAGACAACATTGCCATATATTTGGCATTGAAAAAAGAGATTTACAGAACCTGAAAGTGTCTTAAATATTTCCAATTGTTTATAATTTCTTCTTGTTCTCGCTTCCTCTTAGTGTTGCTGCTTAATAGGGCTGCATTTGCACAATGACATAACAATGTATGGGTTGACATTGTGTGGTTTGCTGTGAATGCTACTGATAGTTTATTTTATCTAAGGCTACATATAGAACTAATTTATAACAGTAATATCTTGATATCACAGAGTTGATAAGAAATCATTAAGGAAAGCTATTTGGACCATGTAAAATGATACATTTAGAAGTAGTTACACTTTTTAAAAGAGTGGAATATGGAAATGAAATTGTGGATTTCTTATATGCATTTTCTTGATTCGAGAATGTAGTTCCTCACACTTTCACGTAGGACCAGGGGTGGGATTCTACCATTTCGCACCTATTTGCTAGAACCGGTTGTTAACATTCTAAGCAGTTTGGAGAACTGGTTGTTAGAAGAAATTACTGCCCTAATCCTGTAAGGAAGGCAGGAAGGAAACATTCTGGTGTTGCTTACAGAAACTGCCTCTCCATTAACCTTATTACATTCTTGGCAGGACTAGACTTCCTGCCTCAGGAACTTCTCTGGAGTTTCCCTCCCCCTCCTTTGCTGGTACTTTGCTTGTGTGGAGTGACCATTTAAAGTTACAATGGCACTGAAAAAAGTGACTTATGACCATTTTTCACACTTATGACTGTTGCAGCATCCCCAGTCACGAGAGGCCAGGCGAGGAGATGCATGCCTCGATGTGAGTGATATTGAGTTGGCCATGCCCAGCCAGTCACATGACCACCAAGCCATGCCCACCAACTAAGCCACGCCCACAGAACCGGTTGTTAAAAAAATTGAATCCCACCCCTGCGTAGGACCCTAACATTAAATGTTGTTGGATTAATCTATTATAGAATAACATAATAACAGAGTTGGAAGGGACCTTGGGGGTCTTTTAGTCCAACCCCCTGCTCAAGCAGGAAATCCATACCATTGCAGACAAATGGTTGTCCAATCTCTTCTTAAAAAGCTCCAGTGTTGGAGCACCCACCACTTCTGGAGGTAAGTTGTTCCACTGGCTTATTGTTCAAACAATTAACAATTAATTGTATAATTATTAATTAAAGCCATCAAAATTGCAATCTGGATTCCCACAGCTGAAACCTATAGTATTTAATAGGTATTAGCTATTACTAATCTCTGCATACAGCAGTGAAGGTGAAGTAAATTTATCGAGGCAAACTGAACTGTCTGTACATTGATGGAGCTGAATTAATTCAAAGTAATTGAAAATCTGCTATATTGTTGGCCACCACTATACCTCATGTTATAAGAGGTGAAGCCCATACAGGAGGGAAAAATTATTAGTGTCTATTTGTGAGTAATCGTTGCTGGTGAAGGCTTCACTCTTCATGTCCCACTTACATGCTTCTCAGTGGCCTCTCCTTGGCTGCAGGAAAAATAAGCTGGACAAAATATCAGATAGAAAAGAATTCTTATGTTTCATTTTGATTGTGTTGAAAATGCTACTGATTGTGCAGAAATCTTTACTGAAATCAATATTTAAACTGGTATTTGTTTTTTAACAGGGGCTCCATCTAGAAGATGTCAAAGATATTCCATTTGGATTCCAGACAATTACCTCTGATGCTTCCAAACTTAGCGCATTTTATTCATTAAAAATGGTTAAGCGGCTTTATGTAGAAAAATCCCTTAACCCTAATGTGGTAAGTTGGGAAGAAATAATAATAATTTCTATCTGGCCCAGCAGGTTGACAGTTATCATCTAAATCCCGTAATTAATAACATTATGCTCATGGTTGCTTTAATAAATGAAATTTTAAAAAAATGTATAGGTATTCTCAATTTATGACTGTAATGGAAACAGCCCATTATTGGCGTAAGCTGTGATGGTCGCAAGAAGGATGATCCCATGACTGATCTGATTTTATGACTTTTTTCCCCAGTGGTTAAGTGAACCATCATGGTCATTAAGTGAATCTGCAATTGTTAAATGATCATCATGGTTGTTAAACGATCACATTTTCCACTATAGAACGTTTATACTGAAAACTAGAAGTAAAGTAAGCAACCTTCCCAAGGGGCCGATAATAACCGGAGAGTTCCAACCATGGAAGTTGCTGTGGCTGACAGCAAAAATGATGTATGAAATCGCAACCCAAATTAGAATCTCTACAACAGGGATGTCTAACTTTGGCAATTTTAAGACTTGTGGACTTCAATTCCCAGAATTCCCCAGCCAGAATTCAGAGAGTAGTCTACAAGTCTTAAAAGTTGCTATAAGGATGGACGCTCCTGCTTTGCAAGATTATAGCTTCTGTTTTTAATGATAGCTTCTGTTTTCTAATGAGAATCATTAAGATTCAGTTGTCATGCAAAGGGTTGTATCATGTAATGTTCTTCGGTTGACAGAAGATGTTATTAGAAGCTTTAGGCAGTAGAACAAAAACAGAGGTTTGGGTTGTTGGTTTTTTTTGGCAGTTTGATCTTCCATTGAATTCCCCACCTACCACATTCCAAAGAAAAGACTCACTAAAGAATTATTGGGAGAATCCAGGGGCTCTGAGAGTCTGAAAAATTGATTTTCTCTCTTTTCTGCGGCCAGAGGTCTGCAAAGAAATTTCTCTTGAGGAAGATGAGTTGGAAACAGACCTGTAGTTTTTAATTTCTTGTTTAATGAATGTTAACTTACACATTTTTTCTTTTATCTTCATTTTTATATGCTAACTGAAGAATGTTTATTTTACTATTACTTATAATGTTTAATGTATAATTTGGAATTAAAATGATTTATTCAGCTTTGTGAGCCGTGGTGGTCCAGTGGTTAGAGTGCAGTACTGCAGGCTACTTCTGCCGACTGCCGACTGCCTGCAATTTGGCAGTTCAAATCTCACTAGGCTCAAGGTTGACTCATCCTTCCATCCTTCCGAGGTGGGTAAAATGAGGACCCAAATTGTTGAGGGCAATAGGCTGACTCTGTAAACCACTTGGAAAGGGCTGGAAAGCACTGTGAAGTGGTATATAGGTCTAAGTGCTATTGCTATTTAAAATAGAGAGCTGCTGCCCTGGGTTGCATATGATAATGTTGTACATTGGATTAAAAAAAGAACATTCCAGTTTTTTAAAACTTTGCTGCCTTAATATTACTTGATCATGGAAAACCCTAGCCCATTGAAGTTAATTATGGTATAACCTATGTGTTATAGGGAAAGCTATTTAAATTTAAATTTCATTTAATTCATTATGAAAGCAGTTGATGGAGATTTGTAAAGGCGACCTTTGCTGTGAAATGCACAAGAGCAAGAGTCACCAATATTTGGACCGCTTGACATATTTGACTATGGCTCATGGAATTATAAAAGCATCATAATCATATGTTATGAATTGTGCAGGTTTGGCTTAGAGATTGCCAGCTGGCCCCAAAACTGCCTAGTGGGCCTGATGGTTTCCAGTCTACTTGTGCTAGTGCATGCGGCCCTCATGAGCTCCATTTTCATCAGCAGAGGGCTGCAGGAGGCCGTCACAGCCGAAAACGGAGCCTCGATGAGTGACATTGAGCTGGCCACACACCCCCAGTCCCCCGAGATCAAACATAACCCTGATGTAGCCCTCAATGAAATTGAGTTTGACACCCCTGTGCTTGTGTATGTGGAATCCAAGCCAAAGCCCCCACCCAGTTGTCTTTCAAGTTTAAAATTGCCACATGCATGTGTGTCACAGTTTTGTCCTTGGCATCAACACCCTTGCTCTTCACTTTCATGTTACCAGTGGGGAAACTTAAGTCTTAACCTGGAGCCTTCTCTCTTTCAGGAATTCATCAGTTCTGTCAAAAGGCCCTTCCCATCAGAATTTGAAGTTGTAGATTTTAAAGAAAAGCCAG